ACTTATAATCGAGTTAATGCTTGATTTTATAAAGCCAAAACACAACAAAATCACTATGCTTGATTAAGGTTTAATAAAAACTTTTAATCGTCCCGCCTGAGAATTTCACTTTACCATTGCATATTTTACATACTGCGTTCCTCTTATCAATAGTTCCATCTACCGTGATCTTTGTCAACCCCAAATGCTGCCATACTGAAGCCGTTGCCCTAGTGTTTGGCACCACAATAAATTGTTCATTGTTGGGGGTCGCCATTTTACAACAAACGCATGACTTCCGGTGTGAAGAACGGTAACATCCGAAGATTTCCGAGTGTTACGAGGTTTTCCGAATGCATGTCAAAATACCGGTTTTCGATCAGCGTATCGCAATACGTATCGTTTTTATGTCTGAACCGGTAAATACCGGTAAACCAGTTATATTGCGCACCCCTAATCAGAGTTGCACGCTATTGCCGATATACCGGTATACCGTAAAGCGCTTTTCAAACGATACATATTGCAATATTGTTTCTGAATACTTTTATATTGGGTAAGAACTCTGTGGTTTCAATTGCAATCTTCACAGACATGTGACCGATGAAGATCTGGGTTAAAATTGGTCTTCAGTAATCCAAGCTGCACGGCTTGTCGTAAGAGGCGACTAACGGGATCGGGAGGTCAGGCTCGCTGTGACATGTCATCGTATCCCAATGGCGTAGGTCGATGCTCATGCTGTTGATCACTGGATTGTCTGGTCCGGACTCGATTATTCACAGACCGCCGCCATAAAGCTGGAATATTGCAGAGTGCGGCGTTGAAAAACCAACCAACCAACCAAGCAACTCACTCACAATGGATGTTACCCTTTGTATAGTGAAAGGACAAAACGGTTTCTTTATATACCATATATCGTATTATTCAGCTAATTTTGAGATTCCTGTCATCAGAACCATAACATATGTTTCAGAGCCTTATCTATGGAATCCTGGAAGGGACATTGTCGCGTTGTCGCACTGTCCCGTTGTCGCCCTCTCAAAAACAGCAAAATGAGGCAAAATTAACCAAAACGCGACAATGCGACAACGCAACATTTCGGCCATTTGTTGCATTGTCGCGATTTGAATAATATTTTTGTATTCCTCCAAAGGGCGACAATGCGACATAGCGACAATTTTCAAGGTCAAAATATGTCGCGTTGTCGCATTGTCGCCCCATCTGTGTGAAAAAATCCCCAAAATGCGAGACAACGCGACAATGTCCCTTCTCAGATTCTGTACTTATCAGATAGTGTACGAAAAGCCTTTTCATTTCAACATTTGTCGTCCCGTTTTCACGGGCGTCGAAAATTCTAACCTCAGAGAAATCTCACAAAAGACCCCTCAAGCACGTCGAGACAACAAAGACAACATAACTGTTCTGTTGTTGATTGAAAAACATGATATCGTATTCTCTTCACTGACGTAAATATTCTGTCAACTATTGGCATATCAATGATTAAATATTATCGACATCTGACACTCCCTTTGTTTGGGATCAAAACATTCCTACAGCAATATTAGACAAGGCATGTTGCCATGCATCTTAATAAAGTCAAACTTTGTTATCAGAAAATTAATGCAACGGAGCAGAATTGTATTCCGCGCTATTCCAATTTGTTATTCTACCATCCTTGATTTCATATTTTGACAGATATCTGTTTGAACTGTATGAATATGGCGTAACGTAATGCTTCAACGTTGCTTAACGTTGTCTGATATGTTGACGACAATAACGGTGGCGCTGACAGGAAAATGTCCCAGAAATGCTGATAGAGGTCAGAGTGTGATGCGTTTGGACGCTTAAATAGCTGACTGACTATTCAAATGATTGTAATTGACCACTGAATAATCCCTGGTCGTGTAAAGTACAACATGCAATGAATACCGATATCCCCGTTCAAAAGATCGCCTTTTGACGTTTTTTCCCCACGTAGAGCCGTTATGCAATGATGTGCTGCTGAAACGGAGGCAGTGAGTGAGCTAATTGGGTTTAGGTCCACTTTTTCATGTCATTTATATCATTTGTAGTGAATGTATTCAGTTATGTGTATGTACAATGTTGGATAATTTAACCTACGCATTCTGAGTGCTGCTACTCTTTCGCCATCAACTTCAGCGCCATGACTGCCACACGTCTATGGTAACAATTGCCATAAAGGGCGGTGGGGTAGCCTTGCGTTTAAAGCGTTCGCCCGTCACGATGAAGATCCGGTTTCGATTCCCCACATGGAACATTAATTTATGTGAAGCGTGTTTCTGGTGTCCCCCCTTGAATATTACTTAAAGCGGTGAAAACCATACTCACTCACTCACTCAGGTTCAAAACCTCTCTCCCCATTGGGACCCTGAATAGAATGGTGCCCCCAGAACCCCACTGCTTATCGTTGTTAACAAAGACAATCACTGGATAGTTTGGTCCACACGTACACCGAACCCTAGTTAATCCGGACACCGGTTCGTGGGGTTTCCTGATTGCTTATGCCCTGACTATACAGGTTTCATTTCTACTGCTAAACGAGTAGTTACGATTATCAGCATATTCAAAACACAGTGTTTATACCCGCTGACTTCGTAATTGACAAGGTAATTAATTTTGGATGTAATTAAATAAGATCATGTAATATTGATATACACCGCCATGCACTGAACAAATTGATTAGGGTGTGTAATCAGAAACGTGTGATAATACAACACTTCATTTGCAAAGATCTGTCGATGACGGGGACATAGGATAGCCCTTGTCTTATTTCAGCAATCACACCACCATCCGTCAAGCTGTCAATCACTGTTGACTCTCACTCGTCAAACGCAAATACACATCATAGTTCCTGACAAGTATTAAGCATGTCCATGTTCTGAAATGTTGATTACTATTGATAAGCTTGATCGATCTCTTTTCTGGGGTGATTTCAGTCACGTAGTCCAACACGCAATAAAGAACTCGTGCTATTAACTTAACATACACAAACTTGAATAAACAATATAGCTTATACGCGTGAAGAAGTAAATAAATATTCAACAGATTCTAATACCAATCAAGACATTTCACTGAGGCAAATACTGTATTCTGTTGGTATTTGCATCCTCGTCTTGACGTTTCACATATTCCTGAAACATTTTAACACCAGCAAAACGTGAAGATAAAAAGCCACTGGGATGAGATATTTATGATGTATTTGAAATCGGAGTTTATATCGTGTGTTGTGTTTTTTCGTTTGAATCTGTTGAAATGTCCATTGTGTTCAGATTGTTGATTGTGTTTCGAATAAAAAATAAACATTGCACGTCTTTTCAACTTTTTTTCGTGTTTGCAATCTCAAGTATTATAAGTACGTACGTATATTCTCTGATATCAAGCTAAAAGTTCATTTAAAACTCAATCATGTTAAAGTGTCCATTTAACACGAGTCATGAGCTAACAAAAAAGGATATTAAATTTTCCTTGGCGTTAAATGACTCATAGTGGAGTAAAGTGTTTATGATCAAATGTTGAGTAACGTATGTAGAAGGTTGAAAGTAACGGGACTGACTGCGTGTGTAACTCTTGTTGGTGTAAGCGCATGTCGAAGAGGGAATTTTATGCGTGTTGAACTTGGTTCTGTTGTGGAAACCCATATACGCGGATATTATGATACGAATCCTAGAAATAAACACGCTGAATCTACTGACAAACGAGGATAAGTTGAGCACCGACCTGACAACTGACCCGTATTAGCATGTATGAGTGCCGCCAACTGGCGCTTGCCATTGTTAGCGAAGGGGCCCCAGGTTGTCTGCGATCAAGTGTAGTGCGATGGGTGAAGCAAGGCGCAAGGTGTGTGTAGCTACGCGCGGAATCAATTTCATTGTCATGTAATGCACGTGCACTAGCCTACATCTGCTCTACCTTCCACAAACCAAATGGGTTCGCTCATTGCCGTGCACCGCCTACTTCTGGTAAACGCGTTCTCTGCGCCGGTCCAACTTATCCTTGTTTGCCAGTAGCATTCGCACTCGCGATCAAAGGTTCCGTCGCGCCTAAGCCACGGCTTTATTAAAAAGGTACTGATGGTAAACTGATATCTAAAGCTGCCGCGAAGATGAAGGAATATTGTTTTCAGCGTTGAACTAAATTAACTTTCCCCCTCGTTCATGTTTCTTTTGACAATAGTAAATTGCCAGTCACTGAACGGCATTATTGCCAACATACTTATACTCATGTGTGCACATTCTTGTCAGTTTGAGAAAGGACAGCCTGGGTCACCTAGTCTCATTCTATGTGCTTACATACCATGTGATGATTTGACTGTGAGGGGCGGGTTGCGTAGTCGTCGTCGTCGTCGTCAAAGGCGCCGCACGTTGCTGTGAGTGAGTTTAATTTTATTTTACGCCGCACTCAGCAATATTCCAGCTATCTGGTGGCGGTTTGTAAATAATAGAGTCTGGACCAGACAAACCAGTGATCAACAACATGAGCATCGATATATGCAATTGGGACACGATGACATGTCAACCAAGTCAGCAAGGCTGACCACCCGATGCCGTTAGTCGCCTCTTACGACAAGCATCGGTTACTGAAGACCAATTCTAACCCGGATCAAGTTGCTGTGATTTAAGAGAGACAAAAGCCTGTGAATCTGCATTCGAATAGTAGATTCTGTCTGTTCATGTCTTGTCCTCGAATTCTCGAGTATTTTTCTCTAATTTGAGATAGCTCAACAAAATATATTCCCGAAATAAAAGATATCGACATTAAACTTAAACTTAGAAAACAATTTGAATATGGTAGTTAGGTTACATCAATCTTTGTAATTTACGGGGCGGTGGGATAGACTGGTGGCAAAGCGTTCGCTTGTCACGCCAAGGCCTGGGTTCGATTGCCATGTGTACAGTTTGTGAAACCTGTGTCTGGTGTACCCAATCGAGATATTGCAGGAATATTGCTAAAGGCGGTGTAAAACCCACCTCATATTTAATTAGTAACGTCTCATTCTCTTTCAGTTGCGGCTGCCAGCGTGCCCCGAGCTCAGCTTCTGATCCGACAAAAGAAGGCCAAGATGCTTATCGTCGTTGTCCTCATCTTTGCCATCTGCTTCCTGCCTATCTATCTCCTCTTCTTGTTAAGGTAACACGTTGCCCTGTTGATGGGCTTACCGGCGTATAAGCCTTGTAATGACATCGGAGTGGTTCTTGTAGCTACACGTGTATCTATGAAATGCAGTGTTGCTGGGGGCTAATTCTATTATAGCTGTCTCGAGGTCATGCGTTAGTGTCATGGCCCATGTATATGTTTATTGTCTGCCTCGTTATGAATAATAATAATAATATTTGGCCACTTATATAGCGCTGAACTCCACGCTGTAGGTACATGGCGCTAAGCGCATACAACATGATGGACCCCGGAGAACCCAAACTGCCTGGGAGGCGATAGAAGGTTAATAGTCATATGACCAAATATGAAGTACCAAATCATCCCAAAGATGTTTTACCAAGCGTTATCACACATATCAACATGATACTGCATCGGCAGATGCGACTTATCGTCGGAGTCGTTTGGAGCATATGAGACCAAGTCGTTGATCGCGTGTCACTGGAATAGTTCATTAACCGAGTTTAAGCCATAGACATTTTGAAGAAGTATTATTTGCATATGTCACTTTAACCTTGAGAGCAAGTGCGACCTTGAAACATGAAGATACAGTCGAACACCGTTGTTTCTAATAAGTTGAATGGACCTACGTAAATATTTCGAGCTATCCGGGGTCCTCCTTGGTAAAGTTGAAACACAACCGCGAAATGATGACTTACGGGGGATATACACAGGGATCAAGCTTTTATTTCGAGATAACCATACGTTCCTCCCATCAAAGTTCCACACAACGGCGTTTGACTATATTTGCAATCAGCCGTTTACTTCGAGTGCAAGCTGGTGTGGATGGCGATAAATGTATTAACATGTAACACAATCTACAGAGAAACACGCATCACTGTCCGGTTATGTTACCGGCGGATTGTAGAATAAACTGCTGCACCTCATCACATCTCATAACCCGTGAATATCCGAGTTAGAATTGGTCTTCAGTAGCCCATGCTTGTCGTAAGAGGCGACTAACGGGATCGGGTAGTCAGGCTCGTCGGACTTGTCTGGTCCAGTCTCGATTATTCACAGACCGCCGCCTTATAGCTGGAATATTGCTGAGTGTGGCGTTAAACAACAAACCAACCAACCCCAACTCATATATGACTTGCAATGTCTGCCTTTCCAGCAGTATTGCACACAGTATTTCAGTGCCCAATTCAGATCACATTCGACACACACATTGCACGGTTACTGAGCGGGCTACAACGGACACCACGTACGGCTGTAATTATTCACCACAAACACCCCAGCCCACGCAAAAATACGCACTTCCCGTGCGTTGACAATTCCATTCGGTCTAATTGTGTTACAGAAATAGATACGAGTTGGGATTCACTTCTCACTTCACGTGTATGACACGTGTCCCATGGCACTACTTCAGTTTTATGGACCCTTTTAAAGATTTAAAATATAAACTTGTTCCATACATCTAAGTGACATTTTGTCGTGATCGTACTTGTCTTTACAAAACTGTCTGTTTAAGCAATGAGAAGAAATGTGCACATAATAATTGGTAAAATAATTTATTCGAACATTTACATGGATAATATATCATTATTTTGCACTGCAAAGAAATGCTTCATATGAAAAAGATTAAAAGATGTAATCTGTATTACTGTATTGCATTCTTAATAAGGGGAGAGTGTCCGATTCGAAAAAAAATGTTTCTTTTGTTATGAAAAAAATGCGAGCATGTTTTAAAATTGTGTTTTCGGTTTCCCGATCAGCTACAATCTGATTGCCTGATCCTTTTTTGTTTTCTTTTTCGAATTGTTTTCATCGCCATTCCGGCTTCGTCTGATCCTTTTTCGTTTTCTTTTTCGAATTGTTTTTATGGCCATTCCGGCATTGTCATTATGTTAAGTCAGTAGTATGAAGTTTGTTGATCTCTATTTTACAAAAACACAAAAAAACATAACCAACTATTCGAAGAAGGGACTTTTGCTCTTCTGAAACAAAACCAGTTGCGTAGATCGATATTCAAGATGTCAATCATTGGGCTGTCTGGTCAAGACTCCATTATCTACAAACCTCCGCCATACAGCTTGAACATTGCTGAATTCGGCGTTGAACAACAATTATACAAACATGAATCTAGGTTCTCACTTTTCGACCCTTTCAGAAAAGGGACGCAACTCTGTTCGGGAGTTTGCAGGACATTAGATAGCTCCACCACGTCTAAGCTGTTCAGAATGATTAAAGCTTTTGCTCCTAAAGAGACACGAGTACTGTGTTTGAGTGATGTATTCATATAATGTTCATTTATTTGGCCTCCTACGCGTTACGGAATCTGCTCCGGCAGATATTGGATTGTGATTATTCTCAGGCGTTCAGTGTTTGAATTCTCTGCTTTACAGGTGCTCCGATGTTCAGATTGCCAAGCCTGCCCTGATGATTGCTCACTTCCTCTGCTACTTCAACAGCGCCATCAACCCCGTCATATACAACTTCATGAGTTGTGAGTGCAAAACTGTATTATCAGCAGTAATTTTAGTATCGGTTCTGGCTCATTAGCCAAGGTGAAGCGTGGGATATTTTATGTGTACCTGTTAGTTGTACTTTGCACCGAGATTAGGGCCATTCACCTTCACCAACTGTGCAGTCATTATCTGACACTGTAACGTGACTCGTTACGAGGTTGTTCCCTTTCGCGTGCAGACCCGAAAATTACACAAATTTGCTTGTGTAAATGCCTATTTACCTCTAAATAGTCTTCACTGATAAAAGTAAATCCTAACGCAATATCCTTCCTTCTTCAGCCCGCGGCTTTTGCTTTTACATCCTTTGTGTTTGACAACCTTTTAAACGTCAATCAAGATTCCGTGTAATGGCTTGAAAATTGAAGCGTAGATGCCTATACCAGGATTGACATAAAGGCAGACATCTCCCTGTTGGCATCCTTGGTACACGAACATAAGCATGTTTTCTAAATCTAGGATTAGGACCAGGACTGCTTCATTCTAATGTGTATTTTCTTTTTCTTTTTCAAAAGCATATATTGATCTTGAAATTACTGCAAAGAATGTTTACGAGGCTGGGCTGGTGTACTGAATATCTGGATAATGGATTGTGGTTCCAAAAGAAAAATAGGAACTTTCTTGACTGTTTCTGTCCAGTTGTCACAGATGATAGATGTATTGATTGCCAACTGACTTATGTTAGATAATATTAGGTTTTTCTTTTGAAATGAATTTCCTGTTTTTGTCGTTGCGTTATCCTCTTTCAGGCAGTGTTTGTAAGACGTATATCAAGGAACCTGGATGAAATGTCAACTCAGTTTGTGGGCTTCAGACGGTTAAAAATATATTTTGACAGGCAGTCATGACATGCAAAGCACTGTTTCCACTGTCATCGCCTCAATTACGTACTGAATGCGACCAACCTTCTGGAGGGACAACGATCTGGGCTCTCGCTATAATCTTGCCTGTAATTATTTGGCGCCTTAACAGATAGCTACAGATTATTACACAAACGCTATGGAACAAAATGACGATTTCGGCTGTCGCTGTGACCTTTGTTTGTTTGCTTGTACAGTTTCAGTGGGCTTTACAGACAGTACACATTGGGATTTGGTTTGTTTCACTTTCATAAAACACGTTGCTTGCACGAGGACAACACTCTGTGACCTTTGTTTGTTTGCTCGTACAGTTTCAGTGGCCTTTACAGATAATACACATTGTGATTTGGTTTGTTTCACTTTCGTAAAACGGTCTTTGCTTGTACGTGGACATTATTTGCTCAGTCTCCGGAGTTTTACACACTGAACAAGTTCTTCCCAAACATTTTGTCCATACCCGTCTTGTTTCATCAGAAAGTGGTAATATGAATTTCACGTTTCTTTGGCATTACTCACATAAACTTCAAATCTGGTACGTTCATCATGGTTCCCGTCTGTCCCTGAAGGATGATTCTTTGTCCGTGCAACACTCTCTAAATCGATTTCCTTGTGAGTGGTAGATGCAAAACATTGTCTCACTTTATGGCGTCCCACTGCGACACGCCAGTTATGTATTTATGCACATCCACACATCAAAGTGTCAAATCTGACATTGTCTGTTGCTCAATCCCCAGACTTTAATGAATTAAACATCCCCCTTGCCATCTTTCGAAAGGTTACTTGCATAATTGTTAACACCTAGTGATGACACATTGAACAGATGAGAAAACCTACTCCTGGGACAAGACATTTGAAGACTCGGTGTCAGCCTCCGATGTTGCTATGTGATGCCGAATGACTGGTGGTCCATTCTGTGGTGCTTGTGCAGAAACACCTGCTTTGAAACGCATCACGCCTGTGTTTTCTGACTGACAGTGTCTATTAATCAGAAAGTGCCTGGGCACACCAATGTTTACACACACCCAGGGGACATGTTGTTCTGTCCACTTTAGATCCGCTGACATCGAGTCCAGTAAAATCATTTGGCTCTACTTCTAATCCACTTCTAAAGGCTATGCTGATTCACGTGTTTTGCACTGTGACAGAAAATGATGAAATTTGAGATGGTGGTTTTCATGTGATGGTGCTCTTATCGCCTGCTCTCTTAGTATTTCAATTCAAATACTTAGATATCGAAATGTTGTGCATTCTGTACATTCAATCTTGATTAACCAAATCCATTGTAATCTTTCGTTAAATACACAGCCCAAAAAATAAGCCACACAAAAAAACTCAAAACAATCAAACATGTCTATAATCATAAGCCTGCGTGAAATAGTGGTGACTTACCAGGTGTCAGTGAAAAGGTGAGGTGAAAGCATCGTAATATAATCATATAACGGTCGTAATAATGATTTGCATTGGACATCGTGTTTGTCAGTGATGCGTTAAATTAGTAAATGATCTCTGTTTGTTTGTTTGTTTTTTTAACGCCGTATTCAGCAATATTTCAGCTATGTGATGGCGGTGTGTAAATATCGGGTCTTGACCTCTAAAGTCTTGACCAGACAATCCATTGATTGTCATCATGAGCATCGATCTGCACAATTGGGATAATATGACACGCATCAACTCAGTCAGCAAGCCTTACAACCCGATCTTGTTAGTCGTATCTTTCAGAGTCCAATTCTAGTCACTGGTCTCCGCCACATGTATGAAATAAAACTTGTTAACAGTTTGCTGAATCCTTGAATTGTTTCACCATCATCACACAACGTTTGACTTTTGTAAATAATTCATGGTCAAGACAACACCCTGTCAGTTCTATGACCTCATTTATCGGTGTCATGTTGATATCGACGGATAATTCGACATGTTTTGCATAGTCCCAAGGCCTTTGAGTTAAACTTCAAGTTTCTCGTGTCACAATTCAAGATTTGTGTGTGTGCGATCCTGAGTTGATATGATGTGAACATTCAAGGAATTCCGATAATGTGTTTTTGAAATGATGTTTTCTCCTTTTCAGGTAACTTCCGCCGAGAGTTCAAGGTCGCATGTCGGGTTTGCTGTAGGGAAGGTCAAGGCCACGGCCACACAAACTACTCTGCGCATGACGGTAGGAGCGAGGCCTATGCTTTTAATAGCATCAAACAATTTGACCTATGGCATTCCAGCTTTAAAACATATCAAATAAAGAGACATGAAGGTTTCAGATAAACTGTGGTCGTTCTTCCAAGCTTCCACCTATCAACCAGTTACACATGTGTCGCATTTGTGTACACTATGCACTATCTATGTATAAAAAAGTTACTTACTAATATTCAGACAAATCAACATATATACCATTACGTAGTTATTACTCTCCTTAAAATTAGATGGTTTGGACACAATAACGTCACTGATAGGAGCAGAAGCAAACTTCCTCTTACTCATTGTCTAACATACCTGTTATTTAATTTTGGAATTGGTAAGTCAGACATTTTAAATAACATTTCTACGTTAGAAAGGGTATAAGGATATACAACTGCTAACTTATTGCCAATTCAAAACTAGTAACTGTCAAATGTTCAACTAAAGTTTGGCATTGCTTAAACTGTATAGCAAACGTGCAGTAACTTTCTTTCGTTTAATCTTCAAATGTTATGAATAAAGAAGATGCCCTTACAAAAGACAGCCAAATCTTGCCGTTTATAAGTATTGATACGACTGAATACTGTCAGCAAATGTGAAGTAACGTCTTTCTCCAAATGTCTATTCTCAAAGAAAATTGTACCCTTACAACGATCCACAAGTATAAGCCCAATTTGCCGTTGTTAAACGATGCGTTTTCATCTTCCTCCTTTCTCTCTTGATGTGACACGGTTCTAATCCTAGAAAAGACGGAGTATCTATTGCAAAGTGTGGTTTAATAGCAGCAATACACAGTGATCGTATAGGCGCCTCAACTGCTTAGTCCCATTTAATTATGGTATGCAAAGGCTCAGGCTATATCTCGTTGAGATCAGATGCAAACACAAAACTCCTTAAATTCCTCTTGGTGTGATTACAAAAGCACGATTTAAGATGGACAGTTTGGAAGCATCAATATCATTTTGCCATCGGTGACCGGTCCCAGATTACCCAAGAAATGGAAAGCTTACATCTGTACATGTCCAAACGTAGACAAGGACCTTCTGGTATCCACAAACATGTGTAGAGCGCATACGTTCTTGACCAACTGTATATGATCGAATTCTATGACAGAGGCAACAGTGAATACATTTCTTGTTTTTGATGTAGAACTGGGAATTATTACATGCCAATATTTGAAAAAAAATGTGTTTCGGGTCTTTCGAGTGCCATTAAGAATAACTCTGTTTTTAAGGACATTGAGCGCCTTTTCATTGACAAAAAAATGTTTAACCATATCTTACATTAATAGATAATGCTTTATTATATTCCTTGCAGATAAACCTAAAATTGGTATACCCTTGTCGATCTGCCTCGTTGGGAAAAACTGTTTGGTTATTAAAGCTCGATGTCTTTGACCTGAAATTTGTTTAAAAAACAAGTAATGACGTGGTCGTTTGCCTTTCATCGATTCATTGTTCAAAAGGCATGCTTAGTTCAAAGAGATATCTGTATGGACCTCCCTCGCTATACACTGCCACTTTAAGCTCCATACTCGGATGAAGTGAATATATAACTGCATATACCGTTCATAGTAATGATCACACCAAACTCTCCTACCAAACTCTGACCACGTTACGTATTGGGCATGTCTTGCACCGTGTTTTCAGCATTGACCCGCACCATGAATCATTTTTATTTCGCTTTTTACCTCTGCCTTTTGTTAATCTTCTGTGTCCGTGTTGGAAGCTTGAATACGCAGACAGAAAGAGTTTCTCATTCCTAGTATACTGTACAATGTGGACATGTAATGAAACTGCATACAAGCATAAATTCGCCTCTCATATAATACTCCCAGTATCGTGCGTATCTATCTCTCATTATATACATTCATGTATCAGCAATTAGAACAGATTAACTATGACTTCCATAGCAAATATGGTTTTAAGTCGCTTTTAGCAATATTCCATTAAAATAACAGCGGGGAACACCAGAAATGGTCTTCGTTTTAAAAATATGGGAAATAGAACCCGGGTTCTCGGCATGACGAGCGTACACTTAGGCCACTAAGCTACCCGAGCCATTTCTTATAAGGACAATTATGTTGTACTGATATTCTCTTGAAGACATTGTGCGAACGCTCCTAGTATATTACTAAGAAACAGAAATGTAAAAAGCGATAATAATGCAAGAAGAAAAATGGAAAATAGACAATGAAATGTATTATATATATTTAAAAGATTATACTGTTTATTTCGTTATCAAAGCGAACTATTTTTTTCAATACAGCCAATAACAAGAGTGTCATTGCTGTGAAGTAAACGCCAAAACGATTTTCCATCAAGACTTTCACCTCTTAACAATCATCAAGACTTTCATCACATAGCAGTTCAATAGAATTCGGTAAGCAAGAACAATACTTGTTGTGGCCACTTTCGGTTGTACTCGCACAATTGGCTTACTGTCATGATTAATGACCCAACAAATATAATTAGTACCCATCACACTTTAGACGTAGAAGGTCCTATCAAATATGATCATTTTAGTCCTTAATTACGTGGTTCTTTCATAATACGCCCCGTATGTTCCCCGCACGTCGGCTTGTTCTGTCTGAAAGTGTACCAGACTTCCGATTACACGTTCTCTGTATGCAATTATTTCCAACAGGCCTCGTAAATTTGTCACGGCGATGACAATAACAGTTGGGATTTTCCCCCATTCCTTTTAATACCAAGGTAAATTCAGTTCTATTTAGCCTCATAATTGCTAGGGAAGTTTGGTGGCATGGCGAAGATTGACTAGCTAGTGGAATAGCCTTATTGTTCAGTGAAACTTTAACTCGGCAGATTATCTTCCAAGATCGAAGCATGCCTCTTGAATTATTTTTTAAAATTTTTAGCCACTGTGATCACTCTTTGTTTAGCGTAGTTTATTTCTCGTTATTTATCATGCATTGCTTTTCCATTGGTTGTAGTTATGTTGACAATGTCCATATTTGCATGAGATATGATTTTCATGAATGATGAAATTTGCACTGTACTTGAGGTTAGCGCGTTGTTTATGATGACAAAAATATTGCGACTTGGATTACCTGAGCTTCACGCATCTACCCACATGCACGTGGAACGCCATCAACACCATGGAATTTGCCTAACGACAGTGCAGTACTCGCGCGTAACACTAATGAAGTCTTCCTTTGCTGAAAGCCTATCAGACCATCACGCCCTTCTAGCGCACTTTGCTTTGATGTAGCGCTGCTGATTAACGCACAAATTGTGAACACTCCTGATACACTTTGCACAATCTGCTCGGCGTAGACTCCATTGAACCTCCATCCAAGGTTGGATGCTGCAGGGCGCTCTGCTGGCAGTACTTTGATTGTGACGCGCTGTGTACTAACTCGCTGCTTAACAAGTTACATCGCTATTTCAGGCTGGGCGTTAAAAACCACTTCAGATGCAAGGAATGGACATTCCGGAGCCATTGCAAGCAGAAACATGAACTTGAGACAATCAAGTGTCCTCACATCAAGCGTTAGGATATCCAGTATTAGAAAACCAAATATTCAAACTCATGTTCATTTTGGAAAGGTCCAAAATGTGTAAACAACCTTTGGATTGTCTGTTTGAGTCTAGGTTCTGTTGACTACCAACAAAACTTCCCACGGAGTTACCTCTATGTGAGAGTTCGTTTTAATTTCCTCTAAAGCATGAATGGTTTGTAATTATAGAGCTATCGTATTCTGGCAACAACTCTTTTTTTTTTGCTTGGACTATTTGGTCAGTTAAGTTATTTTCTTGACACTGTTAACTTTTTGCACTTGCTCTTATATCGAATTGCTGCAACCAAGTTGAAACTTCACACTACATAACGAACCGTGAAAGATTCTGCGTTAAAAGGTCGACTCCGGTATAACGTGTAAAGTTATGATGATTTGTATGCCTATCATACATATATAACCTGCATGTATTTCCTAATTTCGAGAATGCTGAGCATGATATATGTATGACGTATCTATATGATAAAATATAATAGTTAATTATGTTTGAATTGTGGACCTTACGTACAAAATGTGAACACACGTGATCATTGAAAGCAAGGAAGTTATGTGTCTATTACACGCAATTTATAAACGGTTATTTCTTGCAATTGAAACTGGTCTGAAGTCCGAAGAAACCATGAAAACGAAAACGGTCATTTGCTTAAACTGGTACCAGTGCCTTTTTTAGAAGCTGAACAACATTTTGAAAAGGTATTAATTTTCTATTTAGGATTGTTATATATTTTAGAGACCGACATGTACATATGTTGTATATATTGTAACCAAGGTACGTTTGATTGCAAAGCACTACAACATATTTAATTGTGAGGACGATTATGTACATATGTTAAATATAAATGTAAAATAGTACATGACATGACAGACGATGTTCTTTCGTATACGTTAATGTTAATTACTGTGATATGGTAACATGAGTGTTTCATGTTGAAATGTTTGTTTTTTGTGTGATTTGTTTACAAAAGTCACGTTTAATTGAAGAATATTGTACATACATACCTTATATTAAAAGTAGCATATTTTGATAGCCCGACGCTTACAAATATGTTTCTTGATAAACATTTACTTTTGACGTCATATGACGTTTCTTTTTCACAATAAAATTATACCTGATAAATTTTTTTGTAACTTTCTTTTTATAACTGTTTCGAGAGAGACAGAACTGTAAGGAATTGATTATTTTTTTGGTTTCTTTAGGCATAAACTGAAACGGATATTACTTCAGGTCTAGCGTTGGAATAGATCTGATCCAGAATATGTGCTGTTCTGATAGTGTGACAGTTTTCATTACTTTAGTGGTTTTCGTGTAAAGAATGATGACAGGTCATGGTTTTATTGGATTAATCTGGTGCCTCCCATGGCATTTCATTACTGAACGTGTAATATATATATATCCAGTTTCTTTCCCCTGAAGTGTAAGGTGTATTGCGTTTCATACATTGCAGATATTTGCTTTGGGGTACAAATATGGTCAAGGAATTTGAAACAAATGACGATTATGATTGTGATACCGTCCCTTTTAGAATTACGCCGTGTTGTTTTGTAGTGAGAAGTGTAGTACATTTCATTTTGTCTTGACAAAATGCATTGTTCATTTGATTTTACACACACACATATGTCAATAAAACTTATTTGTGAGCTGGATTTTTTGTGTTCTCCTATGTTGTACTTATGCCATTTAATGTTACGCTTATTTATTGCTAGGATTTGAACAAGCAACTTTTGTGAGCTCTGAAACGTGTGACGGGGACTTAGAGTACCATATCAATTGTCTCAAAGCATTTATCTCTTGTGACAAGCATATCCTTGCCTGTATATCTGTTTATTACATTTCAATGTAGTGTCTCAAGCTCTTAACAAATATATAACCACTTGAAACCCATGTAGCCATATCTTTGTTATTATTTGACATTTCGTCGTTTGTCTATATACTCTGACATTCTTCAGGTGCAATTCACTCACCGTCACCCGAGAGGTAAGTCATTGCTTAAACCTATATAATTTTCTGTTACCATGTATGATATGAGATGTAGCAACACTAGGCAAAAAGGTAGAAATATACAGTGAACGTAGCGAAAAGAATATTATTCTGCATAACATTTAATTAGCCTGGTGAAATATAGATACAAAATAGCATTTAGGATTGTATGTTAGGATAGATTATAGTCGAAATAGGTTTTGAAATAGGTAATTCAATTCTAAAAGGTCATCTTATCATCAGCAACATATTTCCTCATCTTTCATGGTAACAGAAAGGTTTTCTTACTTCCAAAAAGGAATTATGATGTCACGTTTATTTGTCATTCAGTTGTTTTCTTCACACATAAAATAAGTATATTAAAATGCAAAAATGACTTTTTTATAATGAGTACAATAAATGGAATAATCTGACTATGTAATTTAAAATTTATTCATGTGACGTATCATACTTTCTGTGTTTTTAAACCTCTTATTGTGAATGTTTTAACATTTGAGTGTGACTCTGTATTGAATAATTATTCTATTTTCATATTTCACCCCGTTTTTGTTAGGTTTCGGTTTTCAGTAACTATTTTATGGATACCAAATTCAATTAAAAAAATACTCTGACATGGTGACATAGCATACGTGTATGTTTTAAGTTGTTCTCTTGTTTAAAACTAATCTAGTAATTGTTTCTAGCATAAAGATACCTTAAGATAAACAACATGGTATAAAACTACATGGTATCAATTATGATTTACGTGTAAACCTTCTATCTGCTTTTTTCTTCTCTATGTTTATGGCATGAACATTAATTTGGAAACTTAAATTTTAGTCCGTTTTAAGTAATTTCTTTGCTTAAACCTGTTAATTGGCATATTGTTTTCTTATTGATATGCAAGTAGCCAGATACATTTTTCATGATTTTTTATTTTCCCATTTGACATCAGTCTTCGTTTAACATTCATTTCCAACATTTTGTTACTATGTATATATTGTTTATATGTTATGTACAGTAAGTGCAAGAATTTGTAATTTCTTACTTTGCAACACGACAAAATATATAATAGTAAAGACTATGATTATTTTTTTAGATTTGTTTAAGAATTTCGGTGCGTTATAACTTTCGTGGCATATATATTGTGTTATACCAGCATCTCCAATAGACAACAAGGAATTGTCACTGACAGTATGGTAAGGGCATACGGTTAACGCATACCATTCATTTCAAAACTGCATTAACACTCTTGAAAGTTGACTTCACGATTGTATTAGAAAGAGAAGTTCCACATACGCAACATTCTCCATTATCCAGTGTATTATATCTTCATTCCGTATTTTATTCTAAATACCAATGAAACATTCTCCTTCGTTCTAAGCATGAGTCTTTTTGACACAACGCTATATATGGTCATCCCATTAAATGGCTCTCCTGGGCGAGAGGCATATGATGCCTTTTTAGAGATGATATCTCTTCCGAAAAGCAGTGGCGGTGGCAAAATAGAATGAGGACGCAATGCACTGGATAAACGAGCTCTATCGATGAATGTTGGTGTGTGACAGGGTTGTCCTCTTACACCATATGTTTTCTTGCAGCACGAGAAAGACTCGACTAAGCTGTTCTCCCAACTTAACTGTGTATCGAGCAGTGCTTCAAACAAAACAGAAGTCTCCTCTGTCAATGCTGTGAGATGTTAACAAAACATCTAGCTTTATATGTTTACTGTTTTGTGGAAATGTTTCAAAATATATGCTGCAAATTGTTTGACTTCATGTTCGTGCTGCTATGTGAATTAAAAAGTCCATAAAGATGTCTATGTTGTGATTAAATGAGATGTCTTTTCTCCTAAAAGATTTACTTTGGTCACTCATTTTTTGCAGTACTCCTGTATTTAATCACGTTAGACGTGACTCACAAATGTTCAAAGAGAATGATTCAGCCAATTTGGTAATATCAAATATTATTCATACCAATCTTTATACTTTCGAATCAGAAGTCAAGTACTCTCACTTTTAGCTGACAAACCAGTCGTCATCAGTGTGAAGGATTCATGACATTCCGACCCGTGAAGATCCGGGTTAGAATTGATTTTCAGTAACCCATGCTTGTCGTAATAGGCGACTATTGGGAACGGGTGGTCAGGCTCGCTGACTTGGTTGACACATGTCATCGTATCCTAATTGCGTTGATCGATGCTCATGCTGTTGAGCACTGGATTGTCCGGGCCAGACTCGATTATCTACAGACCGCCACCATATAGCTGGAATATTGCTGAGTGCGGCGTTAAGAATACAACCAACCAACTAACCATCTGGACATCCCGGTGCGGTGGTATAGCCTTGTCGTCAAAGCGTTCGCTCGTCACGCCCAAGACCTGCGTTCGATTCCCCACATGGGTACGGTGTATGAAGCTCAGTTCTTCTGTACCCTGCCGTGATACTGCTGGATATTGCTAAAAGCGGTGTAAAAATACGCTCACTCACTGTCAAGTGTCATCTGAGGAGCATCCCGCTATACGTTACTATCCTTCCACGTTCTACGTACACGCAGTACATACCAACTCAGTGTGATAGATACACAAGCAGCAACGTGCAAATACACTTTGAAACTTTACGCCTCACTATAGTCTGTTTGCAGTGAAAACGTACCGATGAATTTCACTCTAAACAAAAAGGTAAATCGAATAAAGAGAAATTTAGATTGCGAATCCTCATAATTTTACCTTGCCAATTGAGTATCAGATCTCACAATTTTATTCAAATTAAGATAAAAGTTGTTTAACAAACGATCATGGTTTCAAATCGCTATTATTGGTTTGTATTACAAGGGGGTATGCACTTTAAATGAAACATCGAGAACAAGTAGGGTTGGTGTAAGTTAACGCTCATCACGTACCGCACGAGCATTTGTTTCACTGTTCCATCTACTGCGCTCACCCCCTTGTAATACAAACCAATAATAGCGATTTGATTCTATGATCGTTTGTTAAAAACTTTTATCCTCAGTTGAAACAAATTCTGAGATTTAAATGTTCATTTGGCAAGGTAAAATTATGAGGATTCGCAATCTTAATTTCACTTAACTTGATTTAGTTTTTTGTTTAAAGTGAAATTCATCGGTACGTTTTCACTGCAAACAGACTATAGTTGCTTGTAGATTCTTGTCATCACTGATGAATATACTCAATCAGTTACAATAATCCATATTTGAGTACTTTGACATAAAACATCAGTAAAATAAGCGCCACATTTTTGAGGCTCAATGTCTCACAAAGGATTTTAATCTATGTACAATGAAGAAAAGGATGGCTTTCGCCTATTGATGGGCGATGGAGTAAATGTTCGCATATTTTGAACGTTCATTTTAGCAATTCAGTGAATGGTCAGTTGAAGAACTACACTGACATCAAAATGCTTCATTTTCAAGGACAGCAATGATAGTGAGTGCGTGAGTATGGTTTTAATCCGCTTTGAGCAATGTTCCAGCACAATCATGGCAGGGGACACAAGAAATGGTCTTCACACATTGTACCCATGTGGGGAATCGAACCTTGGTCTTCGGAGTGACGAGCGAACGCTTTAGCGACTAGGCTACACCACCGCCCCGACAGTAAAGATTAGAGTGGGTCACATTATCATACAACAAACAGTGACCAAGTTGCTTTAGATTTGTTGGTGTTACCTCTGTCGAAAACATACCAATAAATGAAAATGAACATCTATATATATTTGTGACAGGGCGGTGGGGCAGCCTAGTGGTTAAAGCGCCCGCTTGTTACGCCGAAGGCATTGGTTCGATTCCTCACATGGGAACAATGCGTGGAGCCCATTTCTGGTATCTGGTGATAATGCTGGAATATTGCGAAAAGCGGCGTATAACCCAACTCACTCACTTGTTAAACCGGGTACCGTGCTACATAAGAGAATTAAAGATGGACACTGACCTTTAGTGAGTGAGCGAGTTGTAGTTTTACGCCGCGCTCAGCATTATTCCAGCTATATGGCGGCGGTCTGTAAATAATCCAGTCTGGACCAGACAACCCAGTGATCAACAGCATGAGCATCGATCTGCGCAATTGGGAACCGATGACATGTGTCAACCAAGTCAGCGAGCCTGACCACCCGATCCCATTAGTCGCCTCTTACGACAAGCATGGGTTACTGAAGGTTCATTCTACTGACCTTTAAATGTTGGGAGTATGAATGAAGAAAGTGTTGACACCAACATCCTTTTTCCTCCTATGCTGTTTATACAGATGACTGTTGGGGATACAGATAAATGAACTCTCGGAGGACCAAACAGAGACACCATCCTTCTAAGGATGACTTGTAAGTGAGTGAGTGAGTATTAGTTTTACGCCGTGCTCAGCAATATTCCAGCGGTCTGTAAATAATCGGATCTGGACCAGACAATCCAGACATCAGCAACATGAAGATCGATCTGCGCAATTGGGATACGATGACATGTGTCAACCCATTCAGAAAGCCTGACCACCCGATCCAGTTAGTCGCCTCTTACGACAAGCATGGGGTACTGAAGATCAATTCTATCCCGGATCTTCACGGGTTCATCTTTGTAAGAGGTGTAGTATCAATGAGGAATGCTTGCTTGTTATTTAACGCCACATACAGCAACATTAAAAAAAACACTCCCAAAACATATCCATAATCATAAGCTACGAATCGCCATGAAATAGTGGCGACACCAGGTGTCTGTGAAAAGGTGAGGTGAAAGCATGGCAATATAATCAAATTACGGTACAAGTCGTAATAATGATTTGCATCGGGCGTCGTTTTTGTCAGTTATGCGTTAAATTTGTAAATGTCCACCACGTGTTTGTTGTTTAACGCCTTACTAAGCAATATTCTGGCGGTCTGTAATTAATCGAATATGAACAAGAACTTTTAGTCACTATCAGCATGAGCATCGGTCCACGCAACAGGGATACAATGACATACGTCAACCGAATCAGCGAGTCTGACCACCCGATCACGTTAGTCGCCTCTTACGACAAGCATGGGTTACTGAAGATAAGGGTCTAGATTTTCTAAGCTCTCTTAGCTTAAGATAGTCGTAACCTCATGGGTAGTCGCATCTGTCTTTGTCTTAGGCTATTTTCGAAACGATCGTAAAACTTAGATATCTTAGCTAAGATCATAATCTAAGATAGGTATATACCTGTTGTAACTAAGGCTGCGCGCACTTACACCTTATTCAAGATGACAACCTACATTGGTCTTGGGTTTGATTGTGAAGATAATCTTGACCTTACGACGGACTTTCGAAAATCTCTCTTATGGTCGCGCTAAGATTATCTAACTGTTGACTTAACTTCTTACGACCTGTCTTAGTTATGAGAGCTTCGAAAATCTAGGCTCAGTACTTACTCTGATCTATGGTGTACGTACACACATATTATGAATGAAGACGAGCTGAGGCTATTCTTTCAGTGATAATGCTACTGGATATGGTGTGTTGGAAGCTGTTGGATCAACAGCCGAGCTGATTTATGGATTGTTGCAAATCACTGAAGACGTTGGAACCCTGAAGCCAACTGTACGTTAAACATTGACTTGTACGTAGACAATGCAAAGCTGGAAATTAATCAGTGGGCCAATACTAAAATATTCGTTTTCAGTCATTAAATGAAAGGTAGACAGAGACTGAAAATGTTGTCACATGTGCGGAAAAATAACAATATTTTACGGAGGCTTCTTTGTTAGAATGTTCCCAAGGCGTCGGTGGAAGCTTAAGGTTTGTAGAATGCTTTTCTCCAAAAACCTACTCTTGCTGTGGTGCAAGAGACTCAATTTACCTACTTTTACCTTACCATATAAATTGAGTTTATATTTTAAATACATTTCAAATTTGATTTTGACAAAATAGTCCTCGTGAGAAAACTAACCCGTAGGCGGGAATCGGAATTAGTTACAAGCAATATTCCGGAGTTACCACCATATCGATGACAATTGTTATAATGTGGATTATCGGCTCTTTGTTGTGAAGAACTTATCACCCCAGACTATTCATCCTGAAGAATGATGATAATTTTATGAATATACAACTTCTTTAGTCTGTAAAAGGATACGTTTCGACATAGATTCTGTCAAGCAAGTGAGGCGGCTCGCTGACTGGGTTGACACATGTTATCGCATCCTAATTGCGAAGATCAATGCTCATGAATTTAATCACTGGATTGTCTGGGCCATACTCGACTATTTACAGACCACCGCCATATAGCTGGAATATTGCTGGAGTGCGGTGTTAAACAACGAACAAACCGACCAACCAAACCTCCATCTGGATTTGACCTGACTTACCCATGACCATACTCAGCGCGTTTCTGACATTCAAACCCACAACCAGGGGATCTTGTAGCACAAAACTCCAGAAATGTGGCGCTTTAGACTGGGTCACCTTGTGATAAACAGAGGTGCGATATGAATCAGAACAGGGACAGAACAGGGTTAACGCATAACGTTGGGTAGTTGCCCGGATTCCCACGAACAGAAGGGTCCTATGCTAATCTATGTATGTTGAGACTTGATGTCAATAAGTAAACTAACATTATACTAATTAAATAAAATATGAAAAATCTAGTTTCTTAATGTAGGTGCTGTAAGTAAAGATAAGACAAGACAATTTGGTATCTACTGGAGCTGAAAAAAGACGTCATGACAGAAATGGAAAGGAAATTGTCTCTTGCTGCTCATGGTTGTACGGGCAAAAAGTGAAAACATT